GCACTATGATAAGCTAATCTTAATTCCTTCTTAGATATAAAACAGATTACTTATTTATTATAAAGATAACCTAATTTATTAAGCATTTCTATGTGTTAGATAACATTTCAAGCACTTTCTAAATATTAATTAATTCTTCAACAATTTTATGAAGCAGATTTCATTATGCTCAATTTACAAATGAGAAAACTGAGGCACAAAGAAGCAGTTACTTATTCCAAATTTACTTTACTCAAACACAATCACAAGTGGCAAAACAGAGATACTCTGAAACCTAAGCCTTGATAGCTTATAATTATCCCTTAATTATGAGTTAATGATTATGCCATTTTACTTCTTAAATGTCATTCTTTTTCCTTTTATATTACATCACTTGTATTTTAAATGAAATAAATTATTTTTGTTTTGCATTAAAACATCTTGAGCCATTCATTCTGTGCTGCAGGTGTGGATCTGATGATTTTTCTGAAGCTTAGTTTAGACACACAACGTGGCCACACTGTCTATGAACAAGTTGCCCAAAAATGCCTCATTTTCCTTATTTGTATTATTCTACACGCCTCTAGCAGCTCTTTCACACCTAACACTATGTGATCTTTCAATAAAAAAAAAAAAAACTAGATTTTTGAGGGTTTAGCAGAATGCATATACAATCATCTCAGTCCATTTTTTGTAATGAACGAAATTTTCAGTGGGTGCTTGAGGGAGCCTACTTTTCATAAAAATCACAAGTAAATTACTTTCAGTGGAAGGCCAAGTGACAAAAAGCTGGAATGCATCAGCAGTAAAAGAGTAAGGAATCTTCCTTTTTATGAGAGTGAAAAAATGCAGAGTTGCTAACTAGAAGTATATTTGATTTATAGATGGATTTGGCTGATGTAAAAATAATTGTAGTAAATTAGTCTGAGACTAATCTAAAACTTCAAGAAGGCACACCTTTCCCTATTGGTACAGGATTCTTTATTAGTAAAAAATGAAATAATGCAGCCTCTGACAGTTCTTCCTCCTACACTGGAAAATAGGCCCTGCACACAGTGTTAATGACTTGAAAGAATGCAAACTTGGACAGTATTTGGAATGTAACTAGCACTCAAATACAGGTAGATGTGAAACAATCCCAGAGCTCTGATTTGGCCCAACCCTACCTTGGGTTACAAAAAACCATCTACAGTGATTGGTGAGAATATTTGAGTTTTAATGTTTAATTGGAATTCTCTACTAAATATTTGAACAATGATAACACTGATTACATAGAAATAGCATAAGATTGATGCAGCAGTTCAGGCTGAGAAATAGAAACTACCCTGCTTGCATTCCTTGGTTCTGGCCACTTCTTCTACCCTCATAGCCAGCAATATATCATTTTGTGCTTCTTCACTTCTCTCTTCCATTGTCTCTCACTTTTTTTACTCTGACACTCCTACTTCTCTCTTATAAGACCCCCTCAGATAATCCAGGGTCATCTTTCCAGCTCAAGGTCCTTAACTCAATCACATGCACAAAGTCTCTTTTCCTATTTAACAGGCTGAAGAGATTAGGAAATGGGCATATTTGGGGCGAGATTGGAGACCATTTTTCTTCCAATCAGAGAAACATACTAAACAGATGAGCTCTCGGATGGCAGGTTTCATACCTTCCTCATCTTCATACCACCAGGACCTGGCACAGTTATTGCCTGGCACCTAAAAGGCACTCAGCAAATGTGTAATCATTGCTTTAATACGTGTAATATTTACTTTAGTCAAAAATATTTACTTGATATTGACTGACAGATACTCTTCTAGGTTCCAAGGGATATGGTGGTGAGCAAAATAAAGTTATTTCTCAGATTCAATCTAGGGAAATGCACTTTGTCAGAAGTGCCATAAATGAACTTTTATTTTTCTCCATTTGTCATCAATCTATAAACTCTCATAGACATTTCATTCTAGTGTGGAAAGGCAGAGAGTGCACCCCAAAATGTTAGGCGCTGATAAGGGTTAGGAAGAAAAGCCAGAGTAAGGAAGATAGACAGTGCCAGGAGACTATGGGAGAAGTCCTCTCAAACAAGCGGCCACTTGACTGGAGACCACAAAGAACTAGGGAATCAGGAATTAAGCCTACTTAGAAAAATATTTCAGAAAGAGGAAATGAGAAATGCAAAGATTCTGTGGTAGGAACATGCTTGGATTTTGAGATTTGTAAGAAATAACAAAGATGCAAATGAGGCTTCACAATGAAAGAGGAGAAGATGATCCTAGATGAGGTCAGATAGGCAGAAGGATGACAGATTGCATGGGGTTTTGTAGTCCACGGTAAAGATTTAGATTAGACTCTCAAGAAGATGGAAATTCATTACAGGGTTGAATAAGGGCTGGTAAAATCTGACTTGTATCTTAGATTACTCTGCTGTGTTGAACACTGACTGTAGGAAAGTAGGGATGGGAGGAAGGAAACAAGACAAAGCTATTGCAGTAGTTCCAGGGAGAAGTGATGGCACTTGAATTAGAGTGATAGCAGTGGTGGTGATGAGACTCTGTAACATTCTGGATATATTTCTAAGGTGTAACTCACATGTTATGGATGCTGTGTGATGGAAAGAGAGTAGTTAAGAATTATTTTAAGGTTTTGTATGGAGAAATTGATGAGTGAAGGCACCATTTACTACACTGGGGAGGATTTCAAAATGAGCAAAATTTCCATTTTGGATATGTTCAGATTGAGATGCTTATCAGACATCAAGCAGAAATGCTGCAGAGGCAGGTGGACATGGGAGGCTGGAGTGCAGGGGAGAGATTGGGGCTAGACACATACATTTAGAAATCTCAGCACATAGCTGATATTTAAAACTGTGAAACTGAATGGATTCCTCAGGGTAACCGTTTTGGAAGAGAATTGAGCCCAAGTGCACTCTTCCCTTTGAAGATCAGAAAAATGAAGAGAAACCAGCAGTGGAGTCTGCAAACATGCAGGCAGTGAAGGATGAGGGGAAAGTGATGTCCTGGAAGCCAAAGGAAGACATTCTTTCAAAAAAGAGTGATCAGATATGTCAACTGCTGTGAGATTAGTAAGATGAGGAGCTTGAAATAACCATTTATCTTGTTTTCCTTTATTTAATTTGTATTTATTAGTGATAGGGTCTTGCTATGTTGCTCAGAGTGGACTCAGACTCCTGGGCTCAAGCAGTCCTCCCATCTCAGCTTCCTGAGTAACTGGGACAACAGGCATGTGCCACTGTGCTAGGCTTAATAATCATTTATTGGTCAGGCAGGATAGTTCATGCCTGTAATCCCAGGAGTTTGGGAGGCAGAGGTGGAAGATTCACTTGAGTCCAGGAGTTCAAGACCAGTCTCAGCAACATAGTGAAACCTCTTCATTACAAAAAATAAAAAATTAGCTGGGCATGGTGGTACATGCTTGTGGTCCCAGCTACTCTGAAGGCTGAGGCAGGAGGATTGCTTGAACTCAGGAGTTGGAGGCTGTAGTGAGCCATGATGGTGCCACTGTATTCATTCTGGGTGACACAGTGAGACCTTCTCTCAATAAAACTAAACAAAATAAAAAATGTATTTTGGCATCAAGGAGGTGATGTCTTTTTATGAAATGGGAGACAAATGCCTGAATGCAATTATTTGTGGGGCTCCAAGTACCTTTATAGTCCACCCATAATAAATAATCTTTTTTGCATTTCCAAACATTGATGAATAGTTAAAGCTTTATGCTGTGCACTTTGGGGCTGGCTGGTTCTAAACATTGTTTTCTTGAAGTTTAGTTAAGCCTCGTAGGTTGGTCTTTTAGAGTTCCTTTATTTGCAAAACTACAAAAATGTACTAGTTTTAACTTGCCTAAATTTCTTACATCTAATTATTTCCATCCATTAAAAGACTAACAAGTCCATAAAAATAGAGAGATTAATGTAACCAGGAAAATTCCATCTTCTCTTGGAAAGCACAACTCAGGACAGGCAGAATAGTTTGAAAGATACTATAACTTTTTACCCGTTTTCCTTCTGGTGCTGACAGAGATCAAATATCAAATGATCTGGGTCAGAGATTAGTTATGGGGATTCTTCAGTTAAAAATGAGGCACTTCTATGCAACTACTCTTGAGACCAATTAATATGTTAGTAGTTAGTGTTGCTTAACTGTTTATTTCCTTCCTTTTAGTAAAATCAATTATTAAAACAAAATTGGTTTACATGTGATTCCATATATCTAAATTGTGGAATCTATATTTTCTTTCTTTTGTAAAAAATATTGGAATAAATGTAAAGCCTATTAAATATTGAAACTCATAGAGCCAAAATCATTCTCAAGGGTTCTGCTAATGTTCATCACAGGTTTCTTAAAATGCAATATATAAATGAAAACTATTCCAGACACTTCTTCCACATTATATTCTTGTGCTTTTTGCATTTTCTTTCTCCAGAGGGAAAATTTATAGAGGTCATGGAGTGGACATATAGCAGGGCAAGTGGGTTGCACAAGGAGAGTGTAACAGAAATTTACCAGATTGTATTCATGATCTGAAACTGATCTGAGAACAGAAATAGCCTTTCATGTGCATGACTTCTTCAAGGCAAAGGATGAGTTTTTAAGAAGTTGGAATTTGCCCTTGATGCCTCATACTCTTGCTGCCTGCCACTTCTCTCTAGTTGAGGATATTCTGCTTGCAACATTTATAGGCATATGGTTACATATTTCATTATCTTTTGTTTGAAATTAGTTGGTTACATTTTTAATTTTTGTTATGGACTTACATGTGCTTTCTCATTCCCATTTTATTATTTAATATCAATTATTACCGAAGAGCTTATTGAGTGTTGCTGTTAGGAGTAAGACAGATGCAAGTTTAAATCCTAGCTTTGACACTTACTGGGAGATGTGTCTCAGTGGCCTGCCTCCTGTGTGCCTCAATTTCCTCAAACATAAAACATAGGATGGTGACAATCCTCACATTATGAGATTGTTGCGATGAGAATTATATCAAGCTATTTATGTGAAAAGACTAGCATAAAATATAAGCCCTGATATATTTTAATTGGAAATTGAATAATATATGCCTTGGAAACAAAAAATAAATTCAAGAAGTGTAATAAGTATATAATGACAAAGGAAATTTGGGTGAAACATTTTTTGGGTAAGGACATTTCTCAGTTGTAAGAAGGAAGACTTTTTGATTTGTATTATACAGTGTTTAGTCCAGAAACATTTATCATTACAAAGAACAGCGTGAAATCTTAATTAGATTCCCTCACTAGGAGTTATCAAGGTAAAAGAAATGCAGAGGATTAATAACATTATATTAAAACTAAAAGTCCACTCTCTATGTGAGTTACAATATTCCATTTCAGAAACTGAGATATCATTTATTTATTAGGATGAATAAATATCATATTGGACTTCGTAAATGAATAACAATTCTGCTTCCCTACTATAGGGATATTTATCTATCTTTCTATCCATCTGCTTGTATGCATCTAAGTAGCTATACATTCTATTAGAATTGCAAAATGCAAAAAAGTATTTACCAGCAAAATCTCAATATGCAATTAAATTTAGGACATTTTTGCCTTGAATGGCCTCCATACTTAATTATTCTTTGAAATTTGAGAGAGTAATACATATTATTACACAAATAAATAGATGATTTAAGCTAGAATCACTGATGACAAAATGTTAATCCAAAGTGCCAACACAAGGGTGAGTTGGTTGAACAGATTGTATATAGTTGGGGACTTTCGGATGACTGTCATGCAGGCAGATGTGACTAACAGCATTTATTATACACTAGAATGTTGTGGCCTAGAAATAATGCTTAATTTTTTTCCAAGCATTTTCTTTAACCTGATATGCCAACAGTAATATATCTCAGTATCTTCTGGAAGATGAAACCTTAAATCATTTAAGAACACAAGTGACAAAATTACTGTTAATCAGATTTTGGTTTATTGTAAAATTTAGCAAAGTTTTTCTTTTAGTCCCTGACCCATTGCTCTGAAAACTAAAGCAAAAACATAATTATTGCTTATTCTCTTCCCCCTACTTTGTTTGTGCCACTGTAAAAGAAGGGAGAAAATCATTGTAATAAATAAAAAATAGAGATGTAACAGAGAAAAATCAGTTCAGATGAGAGGTATTAGGAGCAACAGAAATACCATTAAGCAGTTTCAAAATCAGCTTATTTTAAAAAGATCATCTTATTAAAATAAAAATCACACCAAAAATATAGCAGCGGAGAAGAAGGATAAATACAGGTTAATTGCACACCAGTCCCATGCAAAAAACTGTGTCACTAGCCAAAACAGTAGTATTCAGAATCCAATTTGTGACGCTTGTGTAGTGCCTGTGAGTCCTCTATTAGGGAGCTGTCACTGAATTGGTCCAAGTCTGAAGGAGTCTGGTGGCCTGGGACATCATCTGCCAATGTGTCCAGATAACTTCCCACGGAAATGCCATCCAGCCCATCACTGCCATCATGTAGGCTGTTGTAGCTACCATGTAACGAGGTGCTCTGACTCTCCAACAAACTACACAGGCTGCCACTGAGGCTGCTGCCTCTGCTGGTAATGGTGGCTTTCTCCTCGATCATCCACTTGATGGACTCGATGCTCTCATTGATTACGAGCAACTGGCGCATGAGCTTGACATCTGTGGCTCTGAGGTTAACCTATGGAGAAGGAGAAAATAAATACATTCCAATTATTTTATATTCTTGAAACACCTCAAATTCATTTGGGGACTGTATGCAGTTCAGAATTTTAAATTCACAGAATAAAATATAAGTGAACTGGATCTCAGGAACTTTTGAAAATTGCTGACTGATGGTAGGAGTTGTAATAAAAAAGCTTACTTCCTGCCAGATGCATCATGCTCCAAAAGGGACAATAAAACTCCCGCTGCATCCCTGACCCTAACCAGTGAACTGAACATGTAATGGATGGCAGGTTCTCTACTAGAAAATTTATTCTCTCTTTGGCCAGATCAAGTTTATTAATGTTTACAGTGGAATATATATGTGAGTCCTGAGGCATGGAAAGAAAAGGAAGGTGAAGAAATTAAGGAGTCATCCTCAGCGTCACAGAAGCCTCTAAGAGCCTCTGGTTTTAGAGTGATAATGTGACAAGCATCCTCATTAAAGTTTAGCATTCATTAGCAAAATGTAATAACAGTGTACGACAGGTATTATTATTTTTGTCTTCATTTTACAGATGAAGAAAGATAAACCTATAGAAAAAAGTTAAGTGTACAAAAAAGGCCTGTATTCTTCATGACTATATCAACATAGACACTGCTGAAGAATGCTTTTGCTTTTATGAACCAAAGCTGATACACTAGCCTGAGCCAATGTATGAGATGAAGTGTACAAATGTTTCTGTAGATCTGACTATTTGTTTCAGATATATCAGGGTCACCCCAATCAAAAGTGGGATGCGAGACATTGGGAAGGTCTGAAAACTCCCCTATGTGCCTTCTAGGTGTGTGGTCCTTCTGATAGCACTAAGTTACTTCAGGGATGTGTCTCCACAGCCACAAAGCAGAGTCTCTTTGCAGGTCCCACACTAACATCAAGAGGCGATGTTTGGGGAGGTCCTGCTGTAAGAACTCCCATGATTGTTCTGTTGGAACAGAAGTGATAAGGCTCCTGAGTCCAGAGCTTGGCAGGGACATGTTTGGCCAGTAGAGGTCCTAGTCATATTCTCTCTCTCTCTCTCTCTCTCTCTCTCTCTTATTTATTTTTTTTTTTGAGGCAGAGTCTTGCTCTATCTCCCAGGCTGGAGTGCAGTGGTATGATTTTGGCTCACTGCAATCTCCACCTCCTGGGTTCAAGTGATTCTCCTGCCTCAGCCTCCAGAGTAGCTGGGATTACAGTTGTGCACCACCGTGCCCAGCTAATTTTTTGTATTTTTAGTAGAGATGGGGTTTCACCATACTGGCCAGGCTGGTCCCTAACTCCTGACCTCGTGATCCGCCCGCCTTGACCTCCCAAAGTACTGGAATTACAAGCATGAGCCACCGCACCTGGTCTTCTCTATGGTTTAAAAATGGATTTCTGTTCCTCCAGTTGGGTTATTAACCCTAAAGGCTGAGTCATGCTAATTCTTTCTTTATGATTCACAGCTAATTGAGTTTTATGTCAGTTTCTGGAATTATCAAAGACATTCTTGGATAACTCCAACTGTAAGAAAGAAAAGAGCCAATTACCCTCAAAAGTATTCATTTGTATTGTAAAAATATTTCTGGGAGAGGAGTTAATCCATAAATGAAGAGGAACTTTGGATTGAGGGAATGTGATGAACAAACGTTGGGAGAGATGGAATTTCCATTAATAACTCCAAGAGATGCAAGATTGTACAGGGTTTGAAAGAATAAAACTATATGTATAAATGCAAAAAACATAAAGTACAATTTAAAATCTCTTTATTTTGCTGGAATATTGAAGTGACTTGACTGACTTCTTCATCTTCTCTGAACAAAGCACTAAAAATAAATTGCACAGAGAGTAACAGAAAAAATGACTTTTCACTGAGATGTTCATGAACAGAAGGATGTGAACTTAATCTTAAGATGCCCCTCTATTTGTTGGGGCATATCGATAACCTTGCAATGACTTTATATTGAGGAAGGAAGCTTTCTGATGGTGTTTAAATTCATCTGCACCCACTATGAGCCAGGAAGACAATGGTCAAGTTACACGTAATACAACAAATATTTACAAATCACCAACAATTTTTCTGAGTCCACTGAGCAGCCCAGAAAATCAATATGAGTCAAACTTTTGGAAAATTATTCACCAGGCATCTGTAGCTGATAAAACAGCTGGCCCCTTTTAAGGCATGGCGCAATATCAATCTAACCATTTCCCAACAGCTCCCCAAATGAACCACGACTGCATTTATTCACATCTCCACCCTCTCCTGTGAAAGTGTTCCAGCTCATGCCCAACTCTGGGTGTGTTCCTCTGTCATTCCCCATTTGAGAAACTTCATTCTCTTCCTCTCCAAATCCTCCCCATTCTTCAAGTCATATTTCTCTCATCAAGCACTACTTGAGGGCTCCAGCCTCCACTGCTGGCCCTCTTCACCACTGCAGTCCTGTTAGCTTATCTCCCAGCGTAGCTTAACTTTGTACTGTCATATACTGCCAATGATTTTCTTTCAGCATTTTCAACTAAGCCATGAGCTCCGTAAAGAAAGAAGCCATGTCTTACATTTCTTCCATATCTTAAGGTCTATCCTAAGCATTGGCTGATTTTTGGAAATAGTCATAATTGGTTGATTTTTGGAAATAGCCATAATTTTAGGAACTGTGAAAGTTTAGCTCTTAAGACAGTAATAATACACGTTCCTAACAACTATACCACCAGGGGTTAAAACATACTTAGAATAGATTTTTTTGGTCAGCATTTTTTGTCTGACTTACACAGTGGCTGCATCAAGTTTTTCAGTTTTATTAAGCAATAAAAAGAAAAGAGGAGTGGACTATGAAGTAACAAAAGCTTCCTTTGACCATGAAATGACTTATTGAAATAAGAAAATTTTTTCTTTTTTTTTCCCTGAAAGCAAAACATTCACAGGCCATTGAACTACTGTTGGGGAAGAAAAAAAAAAAAAAAAAAAAAACGACGACAGCAAGTCGGTTAGAACGTGTTGATCTAGTTGATAATGATTATAGATTTAACTGTGTCTAACCCTGTGTCCTCCAGGGAGAGAGTAAACAGCTTCCCACCGTGGGAGCACTGGGCAAGCCGGTTCACACGTTGGCATGTTCATTACCAGGAACTCCAGGCACAGAGAGGCCTGGGCCAGCCCAGCTGCTACACTCTGCTTTCTCCAAGCACCAAGGTGTGGTTATACTACTGATGACCCTTGAAATTATGAGCAATCCACCAAAGAACTAAATCACAATGACTCTTCTGTCTCTAGTAGCTGCCCCGCCTTTCCTCACTGTTATTCATTTCAGTCTTTATGAAGTGCAGCCATCAATTAAGAACAGAATAACTTTGCTCTGGCAGCATGAAACTGTGTGGTTCCTTCTGTTGGCGTCTTATAAGGTCCCGTAACTTGACTCTGAGTAATACTAAGAGTTGGGATATCCTAAGGGTCTGAATTAAAAGTCACCTCCTAGGAGAACCCGATTCCTGCCTGATCAATCATGATATGCAATACCCATACCTAGATTAATATTACATTTTCATGTCTGTTTCCTTCATAATATTTCTGACTAGTTGAAAGCATACTGTTTATCATGCATTTACTTATTATTTTCTGTTTCCCCTGTGAGCATGAAAGCACCACAGAGTGCTTGAGTCTTGATCTTTCCTGGTCACCACTCTATGCCAAGACTTAAAAGAGTATCTCACACAAAGTAGGTGCTAAATTAGTACCTGTCTGACACCTGTATAACCAACTTTGCTTCAGATTGGATTATCTGTCGGAATCTGGGTTTTGCTGTGGGTCAGTGATATGTGACTTGAAAGGAAAAAAAAAAAGTAGGAAAGAACATTTCAGTAATGAAGCATTCCCAGCAGATAATCCCTTCTATTCCTTCTCCAAATTCAAACACTGATTAACTGGTGTGAGATTATTCCTAGCTTAAATTTACTGAGTATAAGATAGTATCTCTAAAAGGAAGTGGATTTCAAGGTGTGAGTCACACTCCAAACATTATTCTGTTTGTTGAGAGGTGATAACTGGTACTAGCACAACATGGATGTTCTGTAAACACTTGGTGAAATGAATTGAACAAAGGGAACAAACAAACAGGACAAGAACCAAAAAACAAACAAAAATATAAGGTTTGGACTGATTGGTCCAAAGGTCCAAAGAGATGTATTTCCTCTTCACTTCCCCACCTCCCCTCTGGTCCTTAACAGTTTATGTCACATGGTTCAGCTTCCTGCTTAGTCTCTCAGGCTTCAAGATTGTGATGTCGCAGGTCTCTGTATTTTAGGGAGAATACCGAGATTTCCTGTCATTTTTTTGACAGGTGATGAACTGGGTCTATGGTAGAACTAGAAATGAGGGATCTTGAAGGCAAAAATATTCTTAAAAGTAAACTTTCCCAGATATCTTTTGTCTTCTAGACTGCAGTTTTAATGCTGAAAGAATACAAAGGTTATAAATTGGCGCAATGGAATCCAAGAAAGAATGCAGTTGGATTTTTGGTTGCTAATCAGGTTGACTTCTTTGTGGTGGTGTATGAGAAACATGGTACTGACTGTAACTTGTCACTTCCCCATCTTCCTATGTGACCTTCGGGTAAAGTGGCTTGTTTCCTTATACATGAAGAAAAATCAGGATATTTCATTCTGAGCTGCAGTGAACCATGGGACTCAGTGGAGGTGGTAAAGTAGTTCTGTGAACAAAAACTAATCTTATCCAATAAGAAGACTGAATTCAACTGAGGCATCCACCTAACGTATCTGCTTTTCATACTGATTTTCATTTCAGATATTTAATAACATCTTATAACATTTTAGGTGTTTAATGTTTAATTTAATAAGATTCTACAAATCAGACAGTCTCAAGATTTTCTTCCATTTTGACATATTCTCTGATACTTTCGTCATTCCTGTGGCCATTTTGTTACAAAATTGTTTCTGCTATGAAAAAATTATGCAGGCTGTAGAGGAGACAGAACAATCAATTCTGCTGCTCAGTAACTCCA